CGGTGGCCAATGAGGGACGGGGGGGCGGGGCGCGCTGAGGCGCCGTTGCCGCGGTGACGGGACGCGGCCGCCATTTTGGGCCGCTGTGAGGGACCGGGCCGGGGGCGGAGGACGGGGAGGGGGGCGGCGGCTCCGGGGCTCCGGCCCGGCCCCTGGGTGTCCCCCCCCTCCGCCTCTCCCCGCGCCTGGCTGATGTCTGCCCGTAGAAGAGCGAGGGGCTGCTGCCTCCCGAGTTCCGCTCCTTCGCCGTCGACCCGCAGATCACGTCGCTGGACGTGCTGCAGCACATCCTGGCCCGTGCCTTCGACCTCCAGGGGTGAGCCCGGGCCTCCCCCCGACATCCTCGGCCGCCTCATCCCCTGAGGGGAGGCCTGGGTTGCTGAGCATCCCTTTGCATCCTCTCAGGAAGAAGAGCTTCTCCGTCAGCTTCGCGTCCCGCGACCCCCAAGGCCAGGAGACCTTCGTGCCGCTGCTGAGCGATGGCGACCTGGCGGCCGCCTTTGCCTGCGCCCGGCCCACCCTGCGCCTGCGCCTCGATGTCCGGCCTCCCGCTGAAAGTGAGTGGGGGGGTCCCCGGGGAGAGGAGAGTGGTGGGACTCGGGCATCTGGGACAGCAAGGTAGGACCCAGGAGCCTTGGTGGAGTCTTTTTTTTTAGAGAGGGGGAACCCCGGCATCCCCAGGCGGGTGGTTGGGGGGGACCCAGCTGTTCAGTCCCCCTAGGGTGGGTGTTAGGATAAAACCCAGGCATCTGGGGTGGGTGTCAGGAGGAAGACCTGGGTGCCTGGGTGTCCAGTGGAGGGACCCAGGCCTCTGGGTGTTGCAGGCCCGCTGCTGGAGGACTGGGACATCATCAGCCCCCGGGAGGTGGCAGCGGTGGAACCCCTCCCCGAGCGCCGCTCGCTCCTGGCTGCAGCGCTGCCCTTCACCCAGGCCCTGCTGGCACAGGTGAGTGGGACCTGGGTGTCTGGGGGGGGCCCTGGGTTCCCCCACCCTGCTGACACCTCATGGAGCACCCCTCCTGCTCCTCTGGCCATCCCAGTTCCCTCCTAGTGCCTCTTAGCGTTCCTAATTTCCTTCAACACCCTTTCTACGGTCCTAGTTGCCTTCTAGTCCCCTCTCAGCAACCCCCAGTCCTCTTCCAGTGCTCCCATTCCCTCCCAGTGCTTCCAGTTTCCGCCGCCACAGCTCCCTGCTCACCCAGTCCCCCTCCCAGCACCACCAGTGACCCGTTTACCCGCAGGTGGGCCGAACCCTGGCCCGGGCGCAGGCAGCCCTGGCGTGGCCGGAGGGCTCCCCTCCCTCGCCCCCCCCGCCACCGCCCCCCTGCGCCCCCCTGAGCGACGCCGACCTCCGCACCTACTTGGGCCCCGGCGGACGGCTGCTGCGGCCCCACGACCTGCGGCTCCACGTCTACCACGGCGGTGTCGAGCCCGGCCTGCGCAAGGTGGGTTCCCCTGGCTCCCCCCTCAGCCCCCCTTAGGTCTGCCTGGGTTTCCTGACCCCCCCTGCCCTATCTCTCCCCCCCGATTCCAGGTGGTCTGGCGGTACCTGCTGAACGTCTTCCCGGCGGGACTGTCGGGGCAGGAGCGACTGGCCCACCTGCGACGCAAGGCGGGCGAATACGCGGCGCTGAAAGCCCTCCTGGCCGCCCGGGCGGCCCCGGCTGAGCTGGCGCTGGTGGGGGCGGCCGTGCGCAAGGACGTGGTGCGCACCGACCGGGGGCACCCTTATTTTGGGGGCCCTGAGGAGGGACACCCCCACCTGGCCGCCTTGCAGGCTCTGCTCACCACCTTTGCCCTGGGTCACCCGCGCCTCTCCTACTGCCAAGGCATGTCGGACGTGGCCGCTCCGCTGTTGGCCGTGCTGGACGACGAGGCCCAAGCCTTCCTCTGCTTCTGCGCCCTCATGCGCCGCCTCGGACCCCGCTTTCGCCCTGGCGGCCGGGGGCTGGCCCGCGCCTTTGCCCACCTCCGACGCCTCCTGCGCCGCGCCGACCCCCCTTTCTGGGCTTTCCTGGCTGCCCGCGGCGCCCACGATCTCCTTTTCTGCTACCGCTGGCTGTTGCTGGAGCTGAAGCGGGAATTCGCCTTCGAGGATGCCCTGCGGGTGCTGGAGATCACCTGGAGCTCGCTGCCACCCGCTCCGCCTCCCCCACCGGACGGCATTCCCCTCCTGGGAGCGCCCCTGGGGCCTCGCCGGGCTTGCCGAGGGCTGCGCGAGCGGCGTGGGCTGCGGCCCCGGCCCCCGC